GCACACCATAAGTCCACACTGGCTTGAGGACCTGATTATATAACAATAGCTTGTTATACACTGTGAGAGATGAGTTTCTACCCATCAGCCAGTACCTCTTTCTGTACTTCAGATTCAGTTCTTCCTGTTTCTTCTTGACGTGTGGTTTCCACCCGAGTTTTGCCTAGATATTTAGCTGTATTTTCATATGGTACAATCTTGTCATTAATGTATACTGGTTTGTAGTCTATTCGTTTGTTGGTGAAGTCGATATAGACCGATTTCTTTTCATTTAATTTGATGCGCCATTTCAGGGTCCAACGTTGAACCTCATCTATAGCTGCTTGGAGGCTAATTATATCTGAAATTATTAATTAACTCGCCAGTATTGATAAGTTTGGCAGGATTTTGAAAATTGCGTCAAAATCAGGTGTTTCAGGAGACTTTGTTGGTCTAAGATGGGGTAACGAAAATAAACTTGCACCTATTGAAAGTCGCTTCAGGCTTCTGCCAAAATTTAAAAATAAGCTTTGAAATTTAATTATTATTATTCTGATAGTAAACGCTGAGTTTGGTGCATTCGCTAGGGCATTTAGTGATTAGATTAGTCATGGATTGCATAATATATGGTAAGATGTGAATAAGAACACATTAAACCGCTTGGTTCGTCTGTATGTTGTAAATGAATAATGATTAATGAAAAATAAATGTTTTAATAGAAAAATCTAGTGGGATTGCACTCGAATGCATTTATGCTTGAGCTGAATTGAAAGTTAAGCATTCCGTTTAAAAACCGTGACAATTTCAAAGTGCATTCTATTATAATTAATTAATTCTGGATTCACTTTAAACTTTTTTCGCCAGAACAGAATTTGCTCTGACCGCATGGAAAGTTAATTTAAAAACTCGTTAAGGTCGGTATTAAGTTTATTTGTAATCTAGTAGACTTTTAGCTATTTTCTTTTATCTCATGCCCTGTGAAACTGACTGTGAAATTGACTTTATTTACTTCAGGCGCTTGATCGTTTAAAGCTTTTGAAATTCTGAATGGGTTTTTGTATCAGTTTATTTTCCATGCGGATTATTAAGAAGCTATTGGCACAGCCGTTTATGGTCGTTTGAACAGCACATAAATATCAACATAATTGGCCTTTTATTGGCAAGCTTTTTAGAACTGAAAGTCACCGCGAAATGAGTGTAGAAGAGACGAGAGAAATCAGAGAAAACTCCAATTCAATTAATTTCTAGGAGGCGCCTTTCAGCAACAAATTACCTAAAATCGCTTCGGAAATATGCACACCCAGAGCGAAACATTTTATCTACGTATTATTCAGGGCTCAACATATCGATCTTGAAAAATTTCTTACTAATAGGAAATCAGAGTGTAAAAGTGCATGCAAATCAGCAATAAATTTATATTGTTGTTTAAGTGCAAGGAATTTATTAATTAACAAATTAGATAATAAAAAACGCTTTTTTCTCGGCTTCCATTCGCTCCAAAGCATTTGGAGCAAAGCTATGAACCTTTTGGTTCAATGAGCACATTTTCCTTACACAGCAAGCAGTGAAATAAAAGATTAATTGCATTAAAATATTTAACAGATAAAGTAACTAGAACAATTCAATGCTCAAAATAAAAATACTTAGACGAAGTTCGCATATTCTTGCTACAGTTCTTTAAAAAATCAACAAAGGTTGTAGCAAAAATTAAGGTTTTCATTGACCAACTGCGCACTTGTTAGTTTGTTCACCTTTTCTACTGAAATAATTTAATTTCCCTTGGTAGGTGCAAATTTATGAACCTTTCCTCTTTTAAGCAAAGTAATTTCCCCTCGCGGCTTTATATCTCATATAAGACAATGCATGTTGTTGAACGACTTATGCCAACAAATTAAGCACACAGAGTTAAAAGCTGATAGCTTTATTAAAGCAATAAATCAATAAAGAGTTAATTTGTTCCAGATAAAATGTCAAATAAATTAATTTGGGTTGACGAAGACGACATGGAAAAAAGCCAACGACAACGGAACTTAGATGAAGAAAACGACTTCGTAGAAAGATCCATGGAAGAAGGTGGAAAATCCATAATGTTCCGGATACCAGCCGAGCTGGAAGAAGATCGTGGCGGATGGGGCAATAAACTGGACTTTCTCATGTCCTGCATCAGCTTGTCTGTAGGACTAGGAAATGTTTGGAGGTTTCCATATCTCTGCTATAAAAACGGAGGAGGTGAGGCTTGATTTTTAGCCTGGAAAGTTTCTGTATATTAACATGCAACTGTTTTCAGGCGCATTTTTGGTGACCTATTCAATAGCAATGGTAGTGTGTGGAATTCCGATATTCTTCCAAGAAGTTGCCATTGGCCAGTACTTGGGTTCCGGTGGGATGACTTTTGTTGGACAATTATGTCCCATCTTAAAAGGTGTAGGTTTCGCCACCATGACCATAGTGTTCCTATTAGATGTGTATTATTGTGTGATAATTGCTTGGACTTTATACTACATTATTAGTACTGTTGCGTACCTACCAGTATTACCCTGGCAAGGCTGTGGTAGGTCATGATCAAGCAACAGTCTCTTGGGGTTTTCACTGATAAGTCCCTTACAGATAACCTGTGGAATACCAAAGATTGTTTTACTAGTGGCAGTAATTTATCGTTTGTCAATGGCACCAAGAAGTTTTCACCAGTTGAGGAATATTTTGAGTAAGTCTAATTGCCAATATCTACATAAATCAATTGCTCGGCTGATAGCCGTTTAGTCAATGATTAAATGGCATTTACAGCGAACTTAATTAGCAAATCATGCGGCAAACGGGTTCGTGATTGTTGGTCTATCAATAGCGTGTTGGTTGGTTTGCATTTTCGGTGCAATAAATTTAACTATTCTTAATCACTCAATGATAAAACGCCTGGATATGAGTTGAATTATTGTTTGGAATATTTGGTACACCAGGGCTTGGGGGCTCCAAAACGCACAAAATCAGTGCGCAAGAAAACAGTACAGCTTTATCAAAATTGTCTAACAGTTTTGTTCTTATACTCAGTATGCGTATGCTTATACTCAGTATACTCTTATACTCAGTGGGCGATAAAATTATTTCTTATAAAATATGAAACTATTAAATTCAAATTCCAACGAATACAAGTAATAATCGACATTTTCCAAGGCTTTTCCCTTTAAAACACTACACTAAGTAAGGCAAATAAATACCATTAGTGAGAAAGTCGAAAACGCAACTAACCGTATTTTCTTTTCAGCCGACAAGTATTGGGTATCTCAGGTGGTTTAGAGGAAATCGGCGGAATGCAGTGGAATATATTCGTATGTTTATGTATCGGTTGGATATTGGTATATATTATCATAAAGAGAGGGTTGCATCAAAGCGGTAAGGTAAATTTACGAGTATCACCCTTCCATTTTATATGAAAATTGTTAGTCTCAATTTTCGCAAAGGCACAAACATTGACTTAGCTCTTTTGTTCAAAGATCTGGCCATTAAATAATCTAGTGAAAAATTGCAAATATTTGTTATTAAAGTGAAAAAACTGCGTGACTGCTTTTTTTTTATCAAACTCTGCATTGTTAAAAGAAATTTTCGACTGTTGAGCATCTTCATTTGC